TCCCAAGCCAAAGCTGCCTGAGCAGCAGTGGCGCCATTGGCGCGCTGCCCAGCAATGAATTCCTTCTTACGGGCAGCGAATTTCCCGGGTTTGTACCCAACCTCCTCGTCGGCCTTGATCTTCTTGACGATTTTCTTCATGCGAGACGAGCGAGAGCGCTTGGTTCTCTTGCATTTCTTTGGCTTAGCGTTCTTATGTTGTTTTGATTTCTTGGGCTTCGGCTCTTCTGACTCACCCTCCTCCCACTCCTCACGGGCCTTGGAGTACTGGTTGGTAGAGGCAAAGGGCTTGGGCGGCGCCAGCATGTTGGCTCGTATGGTCGCCAAAACCTGAGAAAGAGAAAGTTTGGTCGCAAGCTCAACCCAAACCCTGTAAGCGCGTAGCATGTTAAAGGGCGGCTTGCCCTTGGTAAGCGTTGCAAACCCGTTCCACTCAAGTTCGAAGGGCCCCTGCGCGTCACCCCCCGGGTGACAATTTCACTGTTTTTGAAGCAGCCTAGGGGCGCTGGGCGGAAGAAGGTGGGGTTCGCTGGGTTCCTCACACACAACCTTTCCATCTCCTGAATCTTTCACTTTGGCGGAACTTGTGTTCAGCTCATTCTTGGCGCCAGATGTGTTTTCAACGGCCTTCTCAGAAAATGGAACTGCTTCCCCCCTTGAAGAACTCAACGACTTCTCGTTGCCCTTGAGAAGTTGCAACTGCTGGATCACACGCGTGAGCCTCTGCGAGTCTGCACCCTTGGAGATCACACCTGTTAGGAGTGCGCTGGAGGAGGTGGATGACGCTGTCGTGGAGGCACGTGAGCTCAACTCGCTGAGGGAGTCTAAGGCTGAAGAAGAGTCATGGTCAGCCTCCTCACTGTCAGAATCATCTTCCTAGGGCCCGTTGCTCAAGTCAGCGTGTAAATAGAGAAAGCACTTTCAATGTTGCAGGAAAGATTCCAAGCCTGGCAGCTTCAACTCAGTCACCATGGTCCGGAGATGGTTCAACTTCTTCAGTTTGGATTGCTTTGCCCTTTTGAGAAGCCTTCGAAGTCGCCCGACCTGAGAAATCACGAGGTAGCTCTGACATGCACTGATGCAACCTTGCATGCGACTGATGAGTAAGCCTACGAATTAACTGGCGCCCCGGCCAGCTTCTTCAAGGCCCATCCAATCCGAAGGCCCCAGTCTTGAACGCATGGCAGCTCGGCTGCGATGCCCGCGGGGAACAAATGGTGCTTCGCGTAAAACTCCAGCACTGCTCGCCGGATGACATACGCGCTCAATCTGCTCTTGCCGCCAGACCCTTTCATGGTGGCGCAAATCGCCTAGGAGTGAAACGCGCTTGCCAAACTCCAGAGTTGCAACAGGCTCAAGCTGCAAATGGGCTGCTCAATTAGGGGTGGGTTGGGGCGAGGTTGAGCATACGGGGTTGCTAGGCGAACCAAAGGCATGTAATCATCCTTTTCCATTGCGGGTTGAGAAACAAATTTGCTTGGCTGTCGAACCAAAATTTGACGCACGTTTTGCCCCGTCGCCTCAGAGTTGCAGGTTAGATCTTTAAGCGTGCACCTTTGGGAGGTGAACAAGCGGCCGGAGTGGTCCGTCAAAAAGGTGAGCCCAACCTGAGCTGCAAAGCCTCTTTCAACATGTCAGCTCAAAGCAGTCCCTTGAACCATTTTGCACACGAGCGGCTTCCTTCAGTTTCGGGTAGGACGCAAAGGCTTCTACAAAGGGCTCGTGTTCTTTCGACTGCTTCTCCAAGCTGTCTGGGCAACTCATGGCCAAGCGACTTTGCTAGGCTAGTAGCAGGTGAGCCAAAATCTGCAAGGGGAAACGGAAACGGAAAGCTTGCGTGTGCGATCGAACCCCAGCATCCCTGGCACAGGCGGCGGCGCCTGACGCCGGGGTGGTGGTGAAGTGATGGATCCGCGCCTGCGGGGGTTCGCCGCTGTCTGGAAAACACAAACATTAGCTGGACACATCAAGAGTGGCATGAATCACCAAAACACGCCAGGCGCACCATGAAAGTCTTTCAGAGGCAGGTGGTCAGGACACCTCCCAGGAAAGGGTTGCGACTTGCTACTTCTCACGACTGCAAAACCTGCAGAAGCCACGCCTCGGAGACTTGCATGGCTGGATAATCGCGCGAATCGCGCGCCCATTGAGCGCACGCAAGCTAGAAAGTTAGACATGTTCTTGTCCATTCAGCTTCAAGCACTTCAACCGCTTCAAGCTCAATGTTTTGTGTTTTGATGCACGAGGCATCAGCTTTTGAGGCGCGCTTGAAGCGCGCGCAAATTGATCACTGTTTGCGCTGGCTGGGTGGAAACAAAAAGCTCGAGTGAGACTACGTCGGCGCACGACAAGGGCGCCTGCAAAAAGGGCCGAGTTCAGCCCTTGTCCTTTTACATGCCGATGTGTTCTGTCAAAATGTTTCCCAAGTGTTGCTTTGTTTGCTTCAGAAAGCAATGAGACTCCACCCCCAGAAGCTGCTTCAATTCCACGAGCAACGTAGCAGGTTAAGAAGGCAATAACCCACCACCCTACACGACACAAACAGACGGACAGACAGAAAGACAGACAGACAGGCAGACAAGACAAGACAAGAAAAACTCAGCAGAACAAACCAAGACCAAGCAAAACAGTTCAGAACAAGCAACCAGCCAAACAAACAGCCAACCAAACAACTAACCGCGCAACCAAAAAATCAGAAACAAGCAAACAAACAAGCAACCAACCAACCAACAAGAAAGCAACCAAGCAACAAAGCAAGCAAGCAAGCAAGCAAACAAAGAAACAAAGAAACAAAGAAACAAAGAAACAAAGAAACAAAGAAACAAAGAAACAAAAGAAAGAAAGAAAGAAAGAAAGAAAGAAAGAAAGACAGACAGAAAGAAAGAAAGACAGACAGAAAGAAAGAAAGAACGAAAGCAACAAACACGCGCGCGCAAGCAAGCAAGCGAACGAGCGAGCGAGCGGACAAACAAACAAGCAAACACAACAGAACAACACGCGCCAAACAAAGAACAGCCAGCCAGCCAAACAAAAAGCAAACAAACAGATAAACACATATCACAAGCAAACAACAAAAACACAACAAAGCTAAAGCCAAAGCCAAAGCCAAACATAAACAAACAAACAAACACACAAACAAACAAACAAACAAACAAACAAACAAACAAACACACGCACAAACAAAGACACAAACAGACAGACAGACAGACAGACAGACAGACAGACAGACAGACAGACAGACAGACAGACAGACAGACAGACAGACATGCAAACAGACAAACGCAAGAAGGGGCCACACCATCTAACAAAAGCAAAAGGCAAGACCCGCAAACCATGAAACAAAACAACAAGGCCACCGAAATCAGTACCAGGGCAATCAAACAAGCAAACGGAACACGAGCCCCTTTCAGCAATGTAAGATAGCCGTGTGTGTAATAGCAATCAGCGCGTGTGGATTGCGCAGCGTGACATGAACTGCTTGTGCATCCCGCAGTGGCTTTTTACCGTTAGCATTCAGCTAGCGCCGCCAAAAAGAGCGCGCCGCCTCTGCGCTGTCATAACTCACTGTGTCATCGAAAGGGCGCAGAAGGTGTGAGTTGAATTCACATGCATTTTCACGGCCATACCGGCTTTCACGGCCATACCGGTTTTCACGGCCATAGCTTTTTTTCGCGGCCAGGAAGCGCAAAGACCTCCGACCACTTAAAATGCGATCATTCACGCACGCAGGGAGTCACCTACGCCCAGTCCTCCCGATAGGGAGGCGAGGCGTCTTGACAGCCCCGCTCAAGGATTGACGGATTTTTAGGTGGGGCGGGCCGTAACCCTGAGGCCAACCGTGTTGTCTCCCACCTTGCGTTAGCAGTTGGGAGAAAAGTGAGCGTAACGCGTTATTCTTCTCTGGTACTACAGGTGGAGGTCCCAAGTGGGACCAAGTCATTTGGAGAAGGACCGTTGATGCACATGGGACCGTGATTGAGGATATCGGGGTGAACTCCAGTGATCGTCGAGCAACCCTATTCAGGAGGCTCCCAAGACGGACTAACATCAAGACAGTGTTTTGGTACTGTGATGATGCGGAGATTGCGTTGTCCTGGAGGAGCAAGTACTTTCAGCAGGGTCCCGATAGGGAACCTCTGAGGGTCAAGATCCATTGAAAGTGACAACACGGGCAGGGTTGTTAGTCGCTGCAGAGAGGCTGGATACAGCCATCCTAATGCGATTAAGTTCCCATCTCGCAAGAGAATCACTAGGGAGGTTCAGAGTGCTCTGATAAGAGCTGCGGCTGTTCACGCCCAAGTGCTCTTAGACAATGTGGCCTAGTGTCGTCATGTGGACTCTTCCACGAGGTATGTTGGACAGCGTTACCCCGATTAATTCGGGGTGGTGGCGGGAATTTAATGCCCGGGATGTCGCGCAACTGCCTTTGTGGGTTTGCTCCACCGCTGACGGCGGTAGTGTCCAGCTGTTTGCGGACGCATGAATCCTATCAGTAAATGGCACGCTCCACCCGTCATATGACGGGCTCCTCGTGAGGGGTGTGTGATTAGCCATGGTTCATTCCATCATCAGGGACGTCGCGGTAGTGACTGACCTGTGATGTTTGGCTCAAGTCTTATGGGTTCCGTCGCGCCTCGGATGGGCGTCGCCGAACCCCTGCGTCGACCGACGGCATCTCGGGGGAGAAAGAGACCTCGGGCCGCCGCCAGGTTGGTAGGGACCATTCGCGCGGCCTGTCGTCGATCAAGGTTGCGGGTTAACCCTTTTCTCTTTTGGTTGTTGTTCTCTGGTGTGTGGGAAACCCTGATCTTTGGGACCGGGGATTGGTTTGCTTTTGGGGAACCTTTCTTTTGTGGCTTGTTTACCCCAACTTACCCATTATTCAAGCACAGGCTCGTGCCTGAATCACACATTGCAATAGATTCAATAGATAGCTCATGACACAGGCTGTTGGAGGTGATTGCTTTTGAGCTCTTTGTGCTGTTTGTTTGCCACGCCAAGGACTGGAGCACTCAATGCTGGAGCGACTGGAATGGAGACTCGACTTCTGTGTGCCTTCGTGTGCACAAGGTGCGGCCAAGGGAGAGCTTTGCTGAAATGGTCAGCCGGTCAAGCACGACTTGCCTGCCCATTAAACTAGCAAATTGCCGGAGAGGAGCGATCCAGAATCAGCCACGGTTCATCATGCCCTCAACGTCGTTTCAGCTTTGAGTTTATTCAGTTAGTTGTCATCGTGACAGTGCAGACTGCCATTCATTTGTTGCACTGTGGCAGAGCTTGGCAAGAAGTTTCAACCAAAGCTTGTGGTGGCGAGTTTAGGAGCTTGTTGTCACCAGGCGCCCGCATAATACCCCACGAAGAAGACATTTGATGTGAGACCATGAGCAGAAGCCACGCTCAATGAAACCAATCCTAGACAAGCGTTGCACTCATACCATTAGTAGCTTGGCGGATTGCGATGGGCCAGTTGTGTGCAACACATGCTCAACTTCCTGCGTAGTTAGGATGACTTTCTGTCGCATAGCACAATGCACGCTATCTGATGGCCGTGATTCTTTTCTGCTTGCGGTGCAGCTAACAACCTGCACAACCTGCATGGTGCCAGGAGTTGCCGGGGCCTGAGCAGGGCCATGCCATGGTCATGGAGGCAGCCCCGTTCCGGGAAGGCGAAGAAGGCGTGGCAGTGGGCAAGCAACCAGTAGCTTTTGTGCAAGGCAGTACCTGTGGTGGGGCTTGGCCCGCAAGCTGCCTTTGGTTACGGCTCTCACAGGTTCAAGCATCGGCTCTCACATTTTTAGGGTACGGACCGGGTACGGAACGCCAGCCGTACCTTCCTTCTTGCTCGCTTTGCTTTTATGTCATTCGCGTTTGACAGGTGACTTTACCTTCATTCGCATTGCCAGCCTTCGGAGCTCGAAGCCTTGGAAAATGGGCCTGTTCTGCTTTGCACCTGTTGAGCAGAAGGGCTGTGAAGATGCTCGGTTTAAGTTGGCTTTACTCGGCTGAGTCGATTTCAGTTGACTTCCATTGTTTTCGGCTGATTCAATTAGATTCACTTGGTTTCGGTTTCACTTGATTTACGTTGTCTTCAAACGCTTTCAGTTGATCAGTTCAGTCAATTTCAGTCTGTTTTAATCGAGTTCACTTGACTTCTTAAACGTGTCTCTAGTTGACTTGAGTCGACGTCAGTTTATTTCAATTACTGTTGGTGTGACTTGGCAATTGCCTTGAGTCTCAGTTGTTGTTCCTTGATCTCAAGTAGTTTCAGTTCATTTCAACTGATTTTTCTGGTTTCAATTGATTTCAGTCTATTTCAGTTGATTTTAGTTGATCTCAGACGATTTCAGACAGACTCAGTAGTTGTCAGCTGTTTTGAAATTACGTTGTTTCTGTTCAGGTGGACGTATTCAATGGTATTTCATTTCGATTGATTTAAGGTGTTTCCCCCCCTCTTGATTTCAACCTCCACTAATTCAGTTGAGGACTTCTCGTTGGAAGCGACTTTCTAAGCACCAGATGGCAGATTCTGGCAAATGTCAGCATGTATTGACCGTTGCGCTTCTGCTCGGGCACTGTCGAGGCCACCTTTCACTACTTCAAGCTGGGTCCCAAGATGGCCTTGGCTCACGATGCTGATGCCACAAAAATGACGTGACCGCTTCAAGCAGTCGACCGCTTCGGTGCTTGACCGGTTGGTGGACTCGGACCTCCTTTCAAGAGGCGCCCAGAAAGCGGCGTCCAGGCCCTGGTCTGGATCTCGGAGTGGAAAAAAGGCCGGTGCTAGGCGCCTCGTGAACGTAGCTCCGGATTACTCGCAATTGCACACAGCCAGGAGTACCCCTTTCTGACGGAAGAGAAGATGTTGGACTGGAAGTTGATCACCACCAGGGAGAAAGCAGGCACGGCGCTATCGTCTTGTTTTCCATGTAAGTTGGGTTATTCGGTTTGCACTGAGGTAAGGGTTCTTGCCGAATAAATTATAGTGCAATCATCAACCATTTGGTTTGTCTTAGCAAGGTAGCAGGGCTGGTTATTCATTTGCAAGTCAATATTGACCAAACCCACATCCACATCGGAATGGTACAGTATCTTTTTGGTGGGATAGCACGGCAGTCCTTGGTAACAGAATCTTTCGTCCGACATTTTTCGCTACGCTGGCTGGTGCGCGAGCAGCCCAGGCATTTGCAATGCCGATTCCATTGAGGAGTGCTTTCACGTCTGCTCTGTAGTCAATGCCGGGGTCCTAGAAACCTTTTGTGCTGAGTGCTTTGGTCATTGTTTCTATGAATGATTGACCACTCGTGGACTGCTGCTTTAAGTATGTTTAAGTCCATTGATTCGAAACACGCATGGAAGATCATTCCCAGGGGTACCAGGGCAAGTTCATTTGCACTCGCCGCACTGCCTTGTCCAAGGACTGCAAGTTCTTTGCTACACACTTCGCAGTGAACTGCAGAGCATGCCTGCTCTTCAAGAGCCTGGGACTGCACTTGGCATAATTTCTCGATGTGGCCAGATTGGTTTCGCACTGGGGTTGCCGTGCAAGGAACTGCCAGAACCGAGAAAGCCAGTCATTGGTGCAAGATGACCTGGAAGGTCGGGAGCTATGTTGACGGCCGGATTGACGAAGAAGCTTTTGTGAGCAAGCTACTACGCATACATGTGGCACCCGGCCAACTTCATTAGCAATCTGACTGTACTACTTTGGAATCGCGTGCTGCTCTTTGCAGATTTGCCTTTGGCCTTTTGGTCAGAGGGGGGAGCAAGGATTTTTTGGCAAGAGCACATAATCTGTGGAGTGCTTGATTTGCACTGTGGCTTGAGTTTGCTTTGACGGCCAGCTCATCCTGCCAGGCGGGGGCGACAGTGTCACCCAGGTAGAGTCGGACTTTCACATGTGCTGTTCTCAGAAGGAGGTCAGGTGACTAGCCCAGCCAAGCGCAGATTGAGACGCAGGTGCTCTGTGCAGTCTGTTTGTAGTTCCTTGCAATGCTACTTGTAGTTTCTGAGTGGAGTCTACCGAGGTACGACATCTTCCAAATGGAGCAAGGTGATGTCGGTGCGGCTGGCATGACGAGGGAGGGATTGCATACTTTTCAGTGCGACCAAATTCGATGTGTACTTGAAGTCGACAGCAGTCACCTCAGCAAGGATATGCTGGCCACATAGTCATGTTTGGGCTTTCACAGTATACCGTGTTTCATGCTACAGTAGCACGCATCAATGCTAGACCAGCTTGGGATTGTGGAGCGCGTTTCTGCATTTTGTTACTATCGAGCTCTATGCCAGATGTTGATGCGGAGAAGAACTTGGTAAAGCTCTTTGGCTGCAACGGTTCTAATTGAAGGCAGTGAATGAGATGCCTAGAGTCCTAGGGATTGACCACCAAAAGTGCAGTCTTCTTGAAAGAAGAGGTATTGCAGACATGCTTATCAGATGCCTGACAAGTTTGCGTGGCTTTGGGCAACTTGGGCATCCTAGGAACCCATCCTTCACCGAGGGCAAAAATGGCTGGGCCGACCTGTGTCCGTGAGAAGCTCAGGTTGCACTGTCAAATATTTTGGGAGCCTGCTAGTCAGTATGCAGTTTCATGCATCCGAATTAGTAAATGTAAAGGACGTTTCTTCTTTACCTTTAGGCCCATGATGTACAACGGCAAGAACCTGACCTTTGGGTGCAAGAACTCGGGCATTTGGGACGCAGTGCCCAAGGCAGGGTTGTGGCTGCAACACACGATGGGGACACCACAACTTCTCCAGTCTCATAGACAATGCCGCAAAAGGTAGATATCTTGCTGTGAAGCAAGATGGTCCCCCCCACAGTAACGAGATAGTTTTGTAGACCATGCAACACGATATGAAACGGTGACGACTGTCACGGACCAGGCTTTGAGTTTTCTGCCAGTGGCCTGGCCGACTAGCTGTAGCAAACCCTTGGCTTTTCGCAGGCTCGTCATCGGCCCGACCTGACAGTAACCCAGATAGCTGTGAGAGAGTAGACGACTGCACGATGAACGTGGTAAGAACGCAGCCCAACTGAAGTGCTGTGTCAGTCTTGATCTGCGAGGTCTCAAGGCATTCTCGTGGCGGCACGCAAGCCAGCAAAAGCAACAGCTTGAAACGAGTCGCAAGCGAGTCCAAAACGAGCCCGCAACGAGTCGGTTCGTTTGAACGGTCCAGTTCTTCACATCCTCCTGCTCAGACGATTGAATAAAGATGCGCGACAACCAAGCAGCTTGCTTGGGCGCAGGAGTGTTGCAGGTATACCGACACGCATTTGTCCTACCAGTGCTTTTGGACTGCGTCTCCGCAAAACGAAACGGTCCAGCCAAACATTGGCTACAATTCTTGTCACGATCCTAAACGAGTCCAAAGCCAACTTTGGCATCTCCAGAAAGGTAGTATAGTCGATCCTCCGAAAGGTCCGTGTATTGAGGTAGGAAGTGGAGCAACGTTTGGTCTTATGCAGGAGCATCCACGAATGTTCCGTGATGGACCGTTCGAAACATGCTTGTGTCAGGGGTCTTTGGTCACGGACTCTGTGCAACACAAGGTGCCGCCTTTGCTCATTGGTCGTGCGTATTGCGCATCCAAGTTACTTTGCGTGCTACACTTTTTCCGAAGTTTGCACTTTCAAGCTGGAGCTGCCAAAGCGCACTTCGTGCACTGCAGTTTGACCTTGGCGTTGGAGCTGCCAAAGTGTACTTCGCTGCTGCTTTCGAGCTGCAGCTGCAAAAGTGTATTTGTTTGTAGCGCTTGTACTGAAAGGCTGCGACTTTCGCGGAAGTGTACTTGAAGCTTACCTTTTTGCAAAAAGAAGTTCCGCGGTGGAGCATGGAAATTAGACGTTGGTTGTCGCGAAGAATGTCAGTTCCCTGAACAAGGACTGTCAGGCAACTACCCGTTACCCGCGACGTGCAGCACATGTGAGCAACAGCAGTCAAATTTCAGTACGTTCGCATGTAATTCGGGGCCGCATTGAAAGTTGTTTGTGGCTTGTAGCTCTTCTTGGAAGGTTGGCGGGAGGGCCACAGTTGAAGGAGTTCTTTTCCCCGGTTTTTCGCAACCTTACGGCCCTTACGATTTTTGATGTTCGGGCAAGGGGTTGGCGCCTGCTGTTTTGAGCCAACCTGTTCTGGCGATGTGCAAGGCATCGGCATGTAGAGTGCATGCCTCTCACGATTTGCCTCTTTCCTGACTCCAGGACGTGGGAGGTGACACCAATGCGTACCACGTGAAGGAGAACTGCTTTCAAGGCTGGCCACATTGACAGCACAGGGCCAGAGCTCTCATCTATCGAGGGGTGGATTCCATGCGTATTTTCCCATAGGGAGGAGACGAGCCTCGGGAACTGAACAAGACAAGGAGCCAAGGAGCCGTTAGCATTTGAGCCGTTACAATGCGCATTTGCTTTTCAATCTGAGGCTCGAGAGGTGGCTTTTACCAGGACGTTAAGACCGAGCTCGCGGCTTAGTTCACTTTGAACTCATTGCCGCCTGTCATTTATTCAAGAGATGGCATGAACACGGCCACCTCCTTTCCCTTCATTCCGACATCGTGTGAGTGGCGGCCACATCCTTGAATCGATCCTTCTCTTAGGATTTGTCCGTCCTTAATCTAAAAAGGAGAGGTATGTATTTTAGGTCCTTGTATTTTACGTTTTGTTTTTTAAAGGGATTTTGTTCCGCTTTTGGCTTCTTGGCTTCTTTTCTTTGGCTTCTGGGCTTCTTGGCTTCTTGGCTTTTCGGCTTCTGGGCTTCTTGGCTTTTTGGCTTCTCGGCTTCTGGGCTTTCCGGCTTTTTGTTGGTTTACGCGGCTTTTGGTGGCTTTCTGGCTTTGGCTATTCGCATCCTCTGCATTCCCAGTTCCACTTCGGCAGTTGGCGTTTTGGCTTTTGCAGCTTTTTGGCTTTTGGCGGCTTTGGCTTTTCGCATCCTCTGCTTTCGCAGTTCCTCTCCGGGCTTTTTGGCTTTGGTTTTTGCATTTGGCTTCCCACATCATCAGCATCACCAGTTCCTCCCTATTTGAATCATCACTTCTTCGAACATCATGACCCCCCCCAACCCACCCGCTACTGTTTTGATTGTTTGCAGAGCAGCTGCACCCCTATTTGAATCAACACTTCTTCAAACATCATGGGGGGGGGCTGCCGCCTCCCCCCCGCTACTTTTTAGATTTCTTGCAGAGATTAAATTGCACCCCTATTTGAATCATCACCTTTTTGAGCGTCCAATTTTGCGAGAAAATGCTGCAAAATGTGTAATCTGTGTAATCCATGTATGTCTGTATGTATGCGCTTCTTCGAACATCATAGGGGAAGCCGCCCCCGCCAACCCTCCCGCTGCCTTTTAAATTCTATTGCACCCTTTCTTGAATCCTTGAATCCGTACTTGAATCATCACTTCTTCCGGCATCATGGGGGGGGCTGCCGCCCCCCGCAACCCCCCCCCCACTACGTTTTAGATTTTCTACAGAGATTTAATTGCACCCCTAGTTGAATCATCAATTCTTCGAACATCATGGGAGGGGTCTGCTGCCGCCCCCAACCCCCCCCCCCCCCCCGCTTCTTTTTTTACAGGGATTGAATCCTAATGGGGGGGGCTGCTGCCCCCCCACCCCGCTACGTTTTAGATTTTCTACAGAGATTTAATTGCACCCCTAGTTGCATCATCAATTCTTCGAACATCGTGCGGGGGGCAGCACCCCCCCCCCCCCCAAGCGCCCCGCTACTTTTTTATTCATTTTTTTTTGCAGGGATGGAAATGCCCTCCTATTTGAATCATCATGTTTTTGACCCCCGTCGACCGCCAGCTACTTTTTTGATTTGTTACCCAGGATTTTAGTCTCGGCCCGAGTCCCTCCCAGTGGTGAGACTGGGACAGCTAAGCACTCGGAGATGGCGCGCCCGGCGGCAGGTTCTCTGGGGTGGTGACGCTCTCGGACGGCAACTGTGCCCAGAACCTCGTGAGGGCCCGGGTGGTTCACGATGGCACGGACATTTGGCTCCCGGACCACATCTTCGCGGAGTCCCACCTGGTCACGGTCTATCACATTGAGATCAAGATCTTCCACAACGCGCTGGTGGGATTGCTGAGCGAGCACTCGCACACCGTGCCCCATCTCCCCTTGGGCATCCACAACTTCAAGGTCATGAAAGAGGTCTGCGCAGGCCTGGGAGGAATCTCCAATGGAGCTGCCCAAGCAGGGATTCGCACCATAGCTCACCTGGATTGGAATCCACTTGCCTGCCAATGTCTTCGCATGAACGGCGCCACCAATGTCATTCTTGGAGACCTATGTGATGATGCGCAGATCTACGGGTTGCGCACAGCAGGACACCTTCACCGCACGCTGCTGGCTTCGGGATTTCCGTGTCAGCCTTACTCCCGGCAGGGAGATGGATATGGAGCCGAGGACCCGCGGGCATCCGCCTTTTGGGGGACCTTGAGAGCCTGCTGGCTCATGCAATCAGCTGGCCTCATTCTCGAGTGCGTGGCCACGGTGGAACGATTCCCCTTCATTATGAAGAATCTCATGGAGCTGGCCAAGTTGATGAACTTTCAGGTCAGGACCACCATCCTCTCCTTACAGGCGCAATGGCCCGCTCGTCGAGATCGCTGGTGGGCTTTGCTTGCCCCAGCTGACTTCAATCTGGAGGACTTTGCTACTTGGCCGTGTACCTCTTCACATTCCACCATCGAGCACATCATTCCTCGATGGCCGCTATGGAGCCTAGCTGAGGAAAAATGCCTGGCACTCACCGCTCATGAGCGCGAGCACTATGACGACCCGCAGTTTGGTACAGATGTGAGGCTCTTGGAGCTCACGTCTATCTGCCCTACCATTTTGCACTCTTACTCCAATGCTCTGCAAACCTGTCCCTGTGGATGCAGACAGAGGCCCTTCTGCCGAGATCGCCTGCTTCGAGGAGGATTGCGTGGCTTCTACGTCATCTCCCAGGTCCTTGACACGCCACGCTACCTTCACGTTCAAGAAGCAGCCCTCATGCTCACCATCCCGTTGACCATGAAGTACCCTGGAGACGCTCGAACAGGCCTCTGCCTACTGGGACAATCAGCCGCACCACTTCAAGCCCTTTGGGTAGCAGCCCATTTGGTCCGCGCCACTCAGGAGTTTTTCCATTGGGAACCACTCTGCAGTCCTGACCTCATGCTCAACCAGTACAAGGAGTTGCTGCTCTTTCAACGATACCACACCTGGACTACCGACGATACCCATGCTACTCGGCGCATGAATGTCATTGATGAGGGTCTCCTTCACATCAACCTGCTCCGGGAGGGACATCAAACAGTCCAGGACTTCCTCGAGGCCGAGGAAAAGCTGCATGGGGAGAGGTCGCTCACTTTGTGGGATGGTCCTTACCCTCTCCCACCTTCGGTACCACTTCAAGACCAAGGACGGTATGGGCCTTACCGACTTCGACGAGCACATGAAGTCTTCACTGCCAACGGACATCAAGGTCCTGGACTCAGCAATCAGCACATCCGCACTGAGCTCAATCTACTCGCGCGTGCACATGGTGAACTCGGAGGGTCTCCGATCTACCTCATTGACCCAGACCTTGGCACCCAATATGCCTCTTTGGAACCTCATGCGTCAGTTCCTCTTTGCACCGACCTGCGCCCTGGCCAGTCCTTCTTCGCAATTTTTGCCTACCAGGGACACTGGGCTCTACTCGGCGGAAGTTCGGACACTGACGAATTCCACGCGGTCATCTATGATGGGATGCCAGGACGTGCGCTACCTGGAGGCCACAATCTTGTGCGGCATCTCTCTCGGAGGTGGAGCATGCCATGCCGCTCCATCGCGCTCTCCATGCTGTTCCGCCAGGAGGACGACTTCACCTGCGGCACGATCGCCTTGGCTCACTTGGCTGCCTGCCTTGACCTTACCTACTACCAGCCCATTCTCACTGCCCACTTCCACATCCTCAAGACCAGCGCCCCATCTTCTGGGCTGGTTGGCTACGGGCTGAGGATTTGGTCGCTTCACAGCTTGCTGAACTGCTGGTCGACAAGGGCGTACCCCGTGAGCATGTAGCTGATCGTGCTCAACAAGCACTCAAGAAGCTCCCTCGCTCGGATGTTCAACAAGCACTGCAATCAAAGCATCCATGGGCAGCTCTGAAAGCCCTGGGCTCGCGACCCACTATCAACTACATGTGGATCCAGCACGACGAACTGCTCGCCAAGATCAAGCAGAAAGGAGCGGAGCAATATGGCCTTCAAATCTCCGCATCCCACAAGAAGAAAGGCGGTGCGAAACCTGGGCAACACCCCGTGCAGGTTAGCCCCGACGACCTTGAGCTTATTCCCAAGTCCTTTCTTGCGGATGACGGCTCGGCCATTGAGCAGATCGCATTTCAGCGCATTGCTAAAGGCCAAGCTGGTTTGGCCTTTGCCACCGTGCAGGATATCACCCCATATCTTCGCGATGGGCAAATTGTCAGCCAAGGGCCACTCGCAGTGCTCACCACGCTCAACATCCCGCACGAGCTGACGGGCATCCTCCCGGTCATCGACCTGGTCTTTCCAGCCATGCATCGCCTCACCAACGAACCTGTCCTGATCAAGGGCTCACTGATCCAGCTCGGCACAGTGCACATCAACCGCGAGAAGTACAAGAATGCCCCGGACATCGCGCCCATGGCAAGCTGACCGTGTACCGTGACCAACTGCCCACCCAGGTCAACTGGTCCACTTTCTGCGAAGGTCCCATGAAGACTGCCATGAAGTTGCAGCCGATCCTCAACCTCTGCCACACCCCTGGATGCGGAGACTCATGCCCCCATTTTCATGGCCCTGTTGATGAAGACCTGGAGAGAGTCGTTCTTAATCTTTGGGGTCGTCACTGGGCTGGGCACAATGGCAGCAAAGCTACCCCGGACCCGGAGAAAGCGCAGACCTGGAGCGCACTGCTCCGTATCCCCAGCGTTGCCCAGATCACCTTGCTGAGCAGCTCAGGCTCCTACGGTCTGTACTTCGACCCTCGAGAGTCTTCGGGACGTGCCCCATGCCCTAACTACGGTGTGGTGTGGTTACCCAACACGCCCCACTCCGACGCACTCCACAAGCTCAAGACCACCGACAGGGCGATCTCCCTCATCCGCTTCAACGACAGGTATGGAATCCGGTTCGCCAAGGACACTCTTGCTGCGGGACACCAAGCACTACGACCGGACGAGCCGTTCAACCCAGTCACCGTGACAGAGCTCTACAGGCTCCACCCTCTGCCCTGTGGGGTCCAACGTCAAGGGCTGATCAAGACCTTGAAAAGCTGGAACTGGGTCGCCAAACCAATCGGGCGACGCTTCAGGAGCCGCCTGGGAAGTCGGAGCAGCTACACCACCGCCATCCAATGTCCTTCCTGGCCAACACGGGGACGTTGTGATCACAAAGATTCGATCCACCCAAAGGGCTGTCGAGCCCAAGCGCCTCATC